AAGCCCAGAGGGAGACTCTCGAAGAAATCCACGCCCAAGGATTGACCTTACTAAATAAATAGCCCAAGAAAGGGCGATTGAAACCGATGCCAAGTTTCTTATTTCTTATGATGATGAAGATGCTACGAGTGGTTTTGAGGGCGGGAATGGTGAAGGAGGAGCCCTCGAGGAGGAGGAGGTTCCCAAAAATAGAGCACCCGGGAATGTAACCACAAAATATATTAGGTTCTCTTTTTCTTTTTTGTGTAAGGGCCGCTCGTGGGTGTTGTAAACATATTTTGTAAACATCTATTGTAAATATATAGAACCTTTTTGCTTCATCTTTGATTTGTGTTGAATCCTGTTGTCTTCATTTGTGAAAAATTCGATTGTATAGCTCAAATGATCAGTTCGAATATCAGTTGGGCTCAGAACATAATAAACCCATAGGTTTTTATTGATCAATATAATATCTCTTAGGTTTATTTTTAATCCTTGAGCTAAGCTTAAACTGATTTGATGCGAGCTCGGGATGTCGGGACTCTTGAGCCTGAGTTGAGTGAGAGCAAGGTCTCGAACTCTATATATTCTGGCCCTTAGGCTCTTTTATATGGGCCTTTAGGCTCTTTTATATCGACCCTTTGGGTCTTTTAGGTTGGCCCTTAGGCTCTTTAAGTTGGGCCAATTCGGCCTCTGGAGTGGCTATAATTTTGCCCTTTTTTCGGCTAAAAGACTTAGTGAACTTTTTTTTGTACGCCTTAGCATGTGTTTTTTGTACCCGTTGGATTTTTTGAAGGTTCGATCGATCAGAACCTCATTTGTGATTTGCTTGTGCGAACATAATTTAATACCTCTTGAGGTGTTGTTTTTCGAAGGCTAATGTTATTGAAGCTTTTAAATTATTCGAGGGATGACTTTATCGAAGCCCCTTTATTATTTGCTTTTGCCAAGGGTAGCCTGATTTAACCGGTTTTTTAAAGTGTTTGAAGGCCTTTAATTTTATAGTGGAAGTCAAATGTTTCTAAGATGCATTATTTCGGCCGCAACCTTTTTATATGATCATAGTCTTTAATATGGTCGTAGACTTTAATATGGCTGTAACCTTATATTGAGGGTATGCCTCTTTGAGGTCTTATGAGTCCTAGTTTTTGATCACTCAGATGTGTTGATTGTCGATGCGTTGACTCTTGAGACGTTTCCCATAGTATTATAAGTGTAGAGCTCGTATAATAGTAGACTTCTTTAAGACACAAAGTGTTTTTTATATAGATAGAATGCTTCCTAAAATAATTGATACACGCGTACATGTTTTGCTATCGAGGCTCAACTATTCTATATGGACACGGTTCCTCTTATCGTTTGGCCCGTTACAAAGTTCTCCTATCGAGGCCCTCTTAGGCGTGAAGTATTTTCCTCGAAAATATGACCTCCGATGGTGATGCCCCCCCCAGTATTTGAGGGTGATTGAAAAGAAGCCTTGGATATGTTGATTTCTCCTTAGGTAGCATATAGTTTTTGCCTCGTTAAAAACCTTGCCGGTAAAAACCATTTGGGACAAAATCTAATCTAAGGGAAAAGGGTGCAACGCATGCTTTAAAAGCTAAGGCCTTAATGTAAAAAGGTGCATTCGATATCTTCGATCGAACACCTGCAATGGGTTAATTTTAATTTCGAATGGACAAAAAGAGAAAACCATACCTTAGGAATAGTATCGTTTGTGTAATGATATGTTCCAACTATTTGGCACTTTCTCACCTTCCATTGTGCTAACTTTGTATGATCTTTTACCGACAACTCCGAGGAATCGGTACGGTCCTTCCCAATTTGGGTCCAGTTTCCCTTCATTCGGGTCTCGAGTATTGAGGGTGACTTTCCGTAGAACTAAGTCCCCGATTCCTAAGTGTAGAAGATTAGCCCTTCTATTGTAGTATCTCTCGATTCTTTGCTTCTGTCCGGCCATTCGAACAAGTGTTGCTTCTTATTGTTTTCATCTAATAGCTCGAGGTTAGTATTCATAGCCTCGTGATTTGACAGCTCTGATGCATGTCGAAACCTGGCACTGGTTTCTCCAACCTCGGCAGGGATGACGGCCTCAGAGGCATAAACTAAAGAGGACGGAGTATCCCCTGTGCTATACTTTGATGTTGTTCGATATGCCCAAATGACCTCGGGTAGAACTTCTCTCCATTTTTCCTTCGCATCGTCCAACCTATTTTTTAGGTTTTGAATTATAGTTTTTTGTGGACTCGGCCTGTCCATTTCCAGTTGGGTAGTACGATGTCGATAAAATCCTCTTTAATTTATGTGCTTCGAGGAACTTTGTCACATTGCTGCCGATGAATTGTTTTCCATTATCATATACAATCTCGGCAGGTTTCCTGAACCGGCATATGATATGGTCCTAGATGAAGTCAATAATTTCTTTTTCTCTGACCTTCTCGAAGGCATGTGCTTCCACCCACTTAGAAAAATAATTAGTCATGAACAAAATAAATTTAGCTTTACCTACGACGGTTGGTAGAGGGATTACTATGTCCATTTCCCATTTCATGGAAGGCCACGAGGATAGGACCGAATGGAGTTGTTCTCCGGGCTGATGGATCATCGGTGCAAATTGTTGGCACTTATCACATTTTTTGACAAATTCCTTAGTATCTTTTTCCATGCTATCACAGTAATACCCTGCTGTGATAATTTTGCGAACCAAAGACTCGGTGCCAGAGTGATTTCCACAAGTACCTTCGTGGACCTCTCGTAAAACATAATCGGTGTCCCCCGGCCCAAGCATATCACTAATGTCCCTTCAAACGTTCTCCTGTACAATGTTTCGGCTTCATCTAATGCAAACCTGGCAGCCTTGGTTCGTAGGGCCCTCGATTCTTTATGGTCCGATGGGAGTTTTCCATTTTTCAAATAATCGATGTACGTATTCCTCCATTCCCAAGTCAAACTTGTTGAATTTATCTCGGCATGACCCTCTTCAACCACAGATCTCGATAACTGGATGACAGTCCCCGAGACAATATCATTTTGTTCAACCAAGGATCCTAAATTAGCAAGTGCATCGGCCTCACTATTTTTCTCTCGAGGCACATGATCTAGAGTCCATTCCTTGAAACGATATAATATTGCATGTAGTTTATCTAAGAATCGCTGCATCCTATCCTCTCGAACTCAAAAATTTTGTTTACTTGGTTTACTACCAACAGTGAATTGCATTTGGCTTTAATGACTTCTGCTCCCAAACTTTTGGCTAGCTCGAGACCGGCAATCATGGCGTCATACTCGTCCTCATTATTAGTCAACCTAGAAGTTTTGAGAGATTGTCTAATGGTAAGCCCGGACCCTTTCACATTTGAGGCACCGTCCGTGAAAAGGGTCCATACCCCCGATGATGTACCTGAACATAGCAGGAGTTCCTTCTCCACTTCGGGTATGAGGGTCGGCGTAAAATCGGTCACGAAGTCATCTAGGATATGCGAATTGATGGCCATTCGGGGTTGATATTCGATATCGTACCTGCTAAGTTCGACGACCTATTTGGCCCAGCTGGCCCGATAACTCGGGGTTATGAAAAACATTTCGAAGGGGGTAAGTGGTTAACACACATATGGGATGATATTTAAAATATGGCTTTACCTTTCTAGATGCGTTTATCAATGCAAAATGCTAATTTTTCTAAGTGAGAGTATCTGGTTTCAGCATCTCCTAGAGTTTCGCTTACATAATAAATAGGGAATTGTGTACATTGCTCTTCTCGAACTAGTACCCTACTTACCACTATCTCGGATATTGCCGAATAAAGGTAAAGTTTTTCATCTACCTTCGGGAAGTGAAGCAAAGACGGGCTCGATAAGTATGTTTCAGTTCTTCCAAGGCTTGTTGGCATTATGGGGTTCATGTGAAATCTTTTTTTCTTTTTGTGCAAGGAGAAGAACGGTGACTTCAATTTGATGACCTTGAAATGAATCGACCCAAAGCAGATATTCAACCTGTTAGCCTTTGCATGTCCTTCACACTATCCACGATTGTGATGTTCTTGATGTCCTTGATCTTATCGGGGTTAATTTTGATACCTCGATTCGACACCATGAAGCCGAGGAACTTACTCGAGCAGACTCCGAAGGCACATTTCTCCGGGTTAAGCTTCATGTTGTATTTCCTCAAGATTTCGAATGTTTCATGCAAATGATCTAAATGGTTCTCTACGCGCAGGGACTTAGCCAACATATCATCAATGTAAAATTCCCTTATTTTACCTTTTTGTTCTACGATCATTTTGTTAACTAAGCATTGGTATGTAGCTCCTGCATTTTTTAGCCTGAAGGGCATTACGTTGTAATAATAAGTTCAAAATTTAGTGATAAACAAAATCTTTTCCTGGTCCTCCAGGTTCATCTGAATCTGATTGTACCCGGAATAGGCATTGAGAAAAGTTAGGATCTCGTGGCCGGCCGTGGCATTGATCATACGATCGATGTTGGGTAGTGGGAAAGGGCATGCTCCTTCTTCAAATCCTTGTAATCTACACACATTCTAAGTTTGTTTCCCTTTTTGGGAAATACAACTACGTTGGCTAACCACTCGGGGTATTTTACCACCCGAATAGATCCTATTTTAAAAAGTTTGGTGACCTCGTCCTTTATGAATGTGTCCTTTATCTCGGACTGGAGCCTCTATTTTTGCTTGACCGGTTTGAATCTCAGTTCGAGGTTTAGCCGATGTGTAGTTATTTCCAGTGGAATTCCTATCATATCTACATGAGACCAAGAAAAGCAATCCATATTATCAATAATAAAGTGAATGAGTTTTTTCCTGAGTTCGGGGGTTAATCCCGTTCCCAGGTATACCTTTCTCTCAGGCATGTATTCGATCAGTATAATCTACTCCAGTTCCTCGATCGTTTACTTAGTTGCTTTGAACTCTTCGGGAATTATGAAGGTTCGAGGGGTAAGGAAATTCTGTTCTTCGTCTTCGATTACCTGTTGCTCCGATTTTGTCGAGGCCGAAGGTGGTGATTGCTATTTGGCTGCTTGATTATCTTTAGTGTTCGACTTTTTCGAGGTCGAAGGCTGCAGTATCAGCGTCACTTCATCGACTGCAAACATCTCCTTTGCAGTGCATTGCTCTCCATAGACCGTTTTTACTCCATCCTATGCAGGGAACTTCATCATATGATGAAGAGTACAAAGTACTACCCTCATGTTGTGTATCCATGGTCTCCTAAAGAGAGTGTGTTATACCACATGTCACCTTCGGTGACATGGAACTTTGTATCTTGTATGGTCCTAGCTACGTTTACTAATAGGATAATCTCTCCCTTTATTGTTTCGCTTGCCATGTTAAAGCCATTTAGGACCCGAGATGCAGGTATAATCTGATCCTGTAGGCCAAGCTGCTCTACGACCCTTGATCTGATTATATTTGCTGAGCTACCTGGATCCACTAGAACACATTTAACTTGAATTTTATTTAAAAGAATAGAAATTACCAAGGCGTCATTGTGTGGTTGAGATATGCCTTTTGTTTCTTCATCATAGAATGACAGGACGTCCTCGGGCACATAACTCCGAGTTCGTTTCTCTCTTGTGATCGACACCTTGGTGAATTTGAACACAAGCCTTTGTGGGATATCGACCCCGCCAACGATCATGTGGATTACATGTTGTGGTTCTTCTTGCTCATTTTCACTTGCATCCCTTTCATTGAAGTGATTCGTAGCTCGATCACTTAGAAATTCTCGAAGATGACCCTCGTTGAACAATCGAGCTACTTCCTCCCTTAGATGCCTGCAATCTTCGGTTCTATGACCACATGTTCCATGATACATGCACATCAAGTTTGGATTCTTTTGAGAAGGATCGGTTTGTATGGGCCTGGGCCACCTGGTGTCTTTGATTCTTCCAATAGCTGACATGATCCCTGATGCATCTATGCTAAAATTATATTTTGACAATCGAGGTGCCTCCGCAGTGTCGATATGCTTATCGAACCCGCTTATAATCATGATTCCTCGAGAACTTTGACCTAGATCATTTCTCCGATAATTTTGAGGGGTGTTTGACCCAAGCCGTTATTTCTTTGATCAATATATGGCTAATACCGTTCCTTGTTTGACCTCGATTCTCTATGTTTGTCCCTCCCGGGCTTAGATGCAAGCCTAATAGGATGAACTGAGCCCGACGGGGCTCCCAACTGGTCGTCCTCGACCCTGATCTTTGACTGATAATGGTTATGCACATCTGACCATGTCACAGTTGAATACTCGATCAAGTTCTGCTTTAACTGTTGAGATGCAATCGAACTCCATTCGTTCAAACCCTGCATAAAGGCCCGTACTACCCAGTCATTAGAGACTGGTGGTAGTTCCATTCTTTCCATCTTACACCTGAACACGTACTCACTTAACATCTCATCGTTCCTCTGCTTTATCTTGAAAACATTCGATTTCCTCATAGCCACCTTTATGGCCCCGGTGTGTGCTTTCACAAAGGCATCTGCTAACATAGTAAACGAATCAATAGAGTTAGGAGGCAGATTATGGTACCAAATCATGGCTCCTTTCGACAATGTTTCCCCAAAAGTTTTCAATAATACTGATTCGATCTCGTCGTCATTCAAGCCATTTCCTTTGATCCCACAAGTGTATGAAGTAATATGCTCGTTAGAGTTGGTTGTCCCATTATATTTCGGTATATCGGGCATGCAAAACTTTTTGGGAATGGGCATCGGATCTGCGCTCTGATGGAATGGTTTTTGTATGAACTTTTTGGCGTCTAAACCTTTCAAAACTAGAAATTCCCCTGGTATTTGGTCAACACAGGAGTTATAAGTCTCCATATTTTTATCATTATCCTCAATCTTCTTTTCCACAGACTTGATCCTCTTGGTGAGCTCTTCGAGCATCCTCATACTGGTGGGGTCAGTCCCCGAGTCATTTCCGTTCGACCTCTCTAGCGCTAGTTCAGCACGTCAAGTGTTTTCATGTTCAGCTACACGCAAAGTCTTATTCACTTTGAAGTTGAGCGATGGCGATCTGCTGAGCTTGAAGCATCTCGAATATCACTTGGAGGCTGATTCCCCTATCTCCCATTCCTTGTGTTCCCTGGCCACCAGATCGTGCTTCCCTGCGTACACTCCCTCAGGGGTCTATGCCTAAATCCATGTTTAGAGCAATGTGTAAACTAACATCAACTGGTTCTATATGTGGCACTTACCTAGGGTTTATTGGTGATACACTGACCTCTATATTATTGTTTTCTCCAAGGCCTTCATCGTCATGAACATGTGTGTTTTGTGAGCTAGACATGTTTCAGCATGAGAATCAAAAGAATTTGGCAAGAATAAGTGTAAAAATAATGTGTGTAATGAGAATCAGTAATGAAATAATCACTATTATCTTTAGGCCCACGTTGCGCGCCAAACTGTTTACCTCGAAAATATGAGTAACAATTAAATTTGATTTATGATTTTAAAGATATGTGACTTAGTTCAACACCAATTAATAATCAAGAAATATGAAGTAAAAATGAAAGAAATAAGTGGACCAAACCAATGTTACTGAGTAGTGCTGACCTCGAACTTAGTGGCCTCGAGATGAACTAAGAGTAATAAAGTATGAACAATAAATGTAAAGGACAATTCTAACAAACAGTAAGAGAGAAGAGTAGGATAGTATATTATTTGCTAATGATTGGATGATGTTTCAAATGATTAGGGTCCCCTGTATATAATAGGGCAACCTTAAATAAGGTACATTTCCATTTACAGTAAAGAATCTTATTGGTACAACTGTCTAACCGCCTAGTACATAATGGTACAATAATCTTTCGGGATTTGCACCATGATATTAGGGACATGGCAGGAATCTCGATCATTCTGTTAGAAATCCATAACGACATTATTTCAGAGTCGAGCATACTCGGCTTCGGTGTCTATTGTACTATGATATTCGGGCATTGCATCTTATTTTCGAGCTTGGGTCTGATCCATCGGGATTGAACTCGACCTCGTCTGAACTCGTGCTTAAAATGGACCCTTGAACCTATAAATCGGAGGCATATGATTTTGACCGTATACAAGTATCAAGTTAGAAGAAAGGATAAATTTCAAGAAAGCTTCAATACTTTTAAGTTGGGAGATCTTTAGTACTGATACACCATCGTGCATTTTGCACGGAGTCTAATCTCAGCCGGATCGGCTAAGCCGTCTCACCTCGAAACATCCACTCATATTACCACCATGTGCGCGAAATGGCATCCGATCTCAGCCCGAACGACAAAGCCATCTCACCACAATGTCGTGTGAGTCATTGTCAACTCACATTCCACTAGAAATCATCTCATACCATTTAAGGGAAATTATCTCATCACATCAATCTTATCCCATAATAGGAGAAAACTCTCACCACCGCACAGGGAGATTTTACCCCTCACTCACTCCTACACCGACACGTGTAGTTTTGGGGTTAGATTATTCCAATCTACCCTTCCTTAGTGACTAAACAATATTCCCAAAGAATTTATTATTCAAAGATTTCACATCTCACTTCAATGCCTTTTACACGCCTCTTCGTTTCATTGGCACCAGTGGCCCCAAATGTAATATCATTCTTGCCACATTGGGGATATTTCATATTTCATATTTCATATTTCATACTCACCTCTTTCTCTTTCAAACATCATTATGGATTATCAACAACAAGGCATTTCTATTCAAGACTTTATATACACAAGTGAGCAAATAAGAGTCATAGGCATATTGAGATTTCTTACACAATTTGGTATAATGGCTTTTATTTGAAATGCGACATGAAGTGGTCTTTAATGTCTATATATCAAAATATGGTCGGGTTATAAAATCAAAAAATGGACCTTCCTATTTCAACTTTGTGGTCGCAGAGTNATGCACATGTTTACCAAGCCTACAATGCTCAACCGTCCCACTATCAATCACCTCCTACACTCCAAAACTTCCCTAGACCTCGACTAAATTTTGACCGCAGACCTGCTAAACAATATACAACCATTGCTGAACCCATTGACCAGTTGTACGAGAGACTCAAAGCTGCTGGTTGTGAGCACGTGATTTTTGCCCTATGATAATTACTCCCAGAAATTCAAAATAAAACAATTTTCCTTTGTGTGCAATTTTGAGAATTGTTCGTGGCATTTTTGGTTAATTGTTTGTATTTGGCTGAGCCGTCAAACCATTTTGGCCATGTTGTTTGTACAATGGAATGAAGATTGTCAACAAGTAAATATGGTCGGGTTATAAAATCAAAAAATGGACCTTCCTATTTCAACTTTGTGGTCGCAGAGTGGACTGCAGAAAACATGTATGCGATCTGGATAAGGGACCGCAAAATCACTCTCCAAAAATGGGTTACTCGGATCAAGTCTAAGGCAAGTCTACGGTCCGTAGACCAGTTCTGCGGTCCCATAATGCGCCACAGAATTCCCCTCCAAAAATCATCGTGCTGGATCTTCGATTGATTGTACGATCCTCAAAATGGTTATGAGGCCACATAATAGACTGCATAATAGTCCTCAACTTGGCTCAATATCTGTTTTACTCTGCGGTTGATCTGCGGCCCACAAAATAATTTTGCAGTCGCATAGTGGACCGCAAAAATGCCATGTTTTGCAAACTTTTTCCTTAAACTACCTGACGTTCTCTACAACCCAAAAAATTTGTACCTCAGCACCATGGAACCCTGGATATTAGGTGAAATTTTTTATTGGGCCTTACAGCCTAACACCTTCCCCTTAGAAGAACAAGAACCCTTACCCAAAATCTCACCGGTTAGCAAATTAATAGAGAAATAATCTTAGTAATTTAATATATACCTTAGTATACTTTTAAATATAAGGTGGCGGCTCTCTTTTATCATCATTAGGGAAACCACTAGTTGAATCTTGTTTTGACTTGTGCAAAATAGGGTGCAACAATATGGTGACTCTGTTGGGGATTTCACACTTAGGTTCTGACCTTAATAGACTAATTATACCAAACATAGAATTTAGGATTGTTTGTACACTGCTTTATCTATGTTTAATTTGCAATTGTATGCTTACCTACCTTACCTGCTCATTATGTCCTTATTTGCTTATTTTAAAAATGTTGTTACTAACATCACTATCTATTACTGCATGATATACACTGTCATCACACTTTTTCCCATTGAGTCTTGGCCTTACACTATCACTGACAATGACATGCGAGGTTTGTCTTTTACTCCCCTCCGAACCTTTTTTAAAATTCTTTAGTTTCAGATAATGGCCTTGTCAGGTCAACTGACATAACTTCTTGAAGTATTCAGTCCAATTCAAACATAGGAAACACTGTACTCTTGCAAACATAGGTCATATTTCATAAACCTTAGGTGAGTTGGTCCTTGGAATCGTCACACAATTAGGAAAGCCACCTTAATGTCAACGGGTCATGCATCCGACGACATAACTTTTGTGGAAAGATGAACCAATCATGAAAAGACACTTAAGATCCGAAGCAAACACTTATCAAACCCCTTTTTCTCTACCGTCTTCAAAAATGGAAATCAACCAAAATATTCCCGAGATCAATATGGTAATGAGAGCACCACACAAGCTGAAGCAATGGTGGAAGAATATCCGCCAAG